CTTAAAAATCAAAATAACCCAGCTTAAAAAATTTATATTTAAAGTCACTGAATTTAAATTCACCTGATCTGACATGTGGATAGATCTAAAGAGCCTAATACTGCCTCCCTACTCCTACACGGTTTGAACACCGAACATATTACTAGTGCGGGCAGTCGGCTAGGCGTAGGTGTGTCCAATTCATATTATGTTACATCTTGGATTCCTTTCTTTACCTGCTTTCATCACTATTATGGAGGAAACATCGTCAAAGGGCAACAATATATGGGTTGTTTGAGATATTGAAGTGGACGACAGCGACGTCTGTTCACTGCGTTAGTCGGGGACCGACCTGTACTCATTGCATTGCAATCAATCCTCCAAGTGGTAAGAAAATGAAATATCAAGAGGAAAACCTAATAATAAAACCTACTAATAAAATAAAAAGAGAAAGAAAATTTTGGTTTGACATACAGAATGAGCCCTACACTTAAGGACTTGGTTCTATTTTGGTCCCAAAACCTTTTTCACCATGAAAATGTCTCTAGACTTATTTTTTCCAATTCCTCGTCCTTTTTGTGAACTGCAATCCTAGTGGCACGTTAAGTGTTAAAAAAATTTGTACTTTTTAATTCATAATATTAAGCGAAAATTTTAAAACCAATTTTTTTATGTGGCATTTCATATTAACATATGGTCTTAAAAACTAAAAATTTGAGAATCATAATTTAATTAACTAATTTTCAATGCATTCTCATAAAAGATATATATGATATTAGTGTGTATCATATTCAACTAAGAAAAGTTAAAGTTTCAATCTATATTCAAAAATTAAAATTTCAATTCAAAATTCAAAAATTCAATCAGTTTTTAAATTTAAATATTTATAGATACATTTTTAAATTTTAAATTGAATTTTAATAAAATAAAATAAAATAATTTAAAGTTAAAAATCTAATTTTTTTAAAAAATCAAGATTGATATGCTTTATATATATATATATAGCAATGAACTTCTAATATAATTCAACATTTTAATAAATCTTACTTGTAATATTGATTAATGTTGTAGTTCAACACTAGTTATTATCAAATTATAAACAGCACTAAACATACATAAAACAAATTAAGTAAAGATAAAGCGGTTTATCTAGTTTTAGAGATGATTTGATTTCATATTTAATTGTCCTTTATTAGAAGCTTCATGTTTTTAAGTTTTCTAGACTTTATTTTCAATGGGGACCATTTCTTAGCTAAAAAGATATGGAGATCAAAATGAAACCAAGTGAATAAGTTGAGGCCTGAGGGACCATTTTCTACATTAAACTATCTAGGTGGGTCCCGGTGGCCAATCCGATGGATGAAATATGGTTCCCATACCAATTGATGATGTCGACCGTCTTGACCTCGGTAGCCGCAATCATCTTCAATTTCTTTGCACGTGATTACTTTGGACTCCCACTTTTTGAATGCCAATTTTTTAGGAATTACGGCAAGAAAGGGGAGGAATTTATTTATACTAATATAAAAATAATATATTTATGATAATACGTGAAATAAAATATAATATAATATATTATTATAAAAATAAATATTTTTTATAAATTTTAT